ATGTATGTATGTATGTATGTATGTATGTATGTATGTATGTATGTATGTATGTATGTATGTATGTGTGTAATTTCCGGTGCTCTCAAACACACCTCAAATCCCATTAGGAATCTCGAATGTTTCCTATTGAAGTAGTAGAAAATTCAAGAGTAGCCAAACTTACCAGGCCGTACAAGAAAGAGAAACGCTTTTGTTCACATAGGCTCAAGTTCCGAAAACAATTCTACCGAACAACAGACCACTTTAATGCGTCGTCTTCTGACGTAAATGACCACTGCTAAAAGATCGGTAAGAATTCCAATGTGCCAGTTAAGCATTTAGCGTTCTGACCAGAAGAATACACTTGACTTCTACTTGAACTGGAAACAATGGGCAACAATGAACTGAATCTGCATGATCCTCACTAGCCTTGACATTTTCTGTTGAAGCTGCGGTACATGGCGAATGCTGAGTTCGACTGTGGGTGATCTGATGTGGCAGTCAGCTGCATCGTCAGCCCGACAGAGGAGTAGCAAAACTACACACGCTGGTCATCGATTCCTTCGCCTGACTGTCGAAATTAGACTTGATCATACGGATGCGGTGAACGTACACAGGAAAAAAACAAAAAAAAACCAAATGAAGAACAAGCAAAAAACAAGAAGATTGAGTAACAATGACATAATTCCGTTTGAAAAACAACAGAAAGAGTCTTAAAAAAAGCAGGTAAAAGAGGATGACGGGAAAATGAGAAAATCGTTGTGGTTTTTTGGATAAACGTCCAATTCAACGCCTCGGTTTGTTTTTATGTGCAGAACGAAGCATTTCGGTCACGAAGGCGTATTCTGCACTAACGCGGAAGTGGACTTCACGCAGAACGGACGCGATAATAAAACTTAAACGCATTGACAAACAAGTGGCATAACATTAGACCGCGTGATTCTGCCATCGGCATTTAGTACCATGAGGTGCCGACCTCTGCGCCTCCACTAACTTTAGGGGCGCCCGCAGGAAGTGGCACTTGGTGCGATTTTTACTAAGGCAATAAATATCATAGAAAACAAAAGAAGTGCGCTGCACCACCCGAAGAATCTAACTCACGCATAGGAGAAAATATACTCCGATGTTTGCAGAGAAAAACTTAAAGGTGCATGACTTGCCTCAGTTTATAGCGAAATAGATTAATTATGTCTATTAATGATCAGATATTTACCTCAAGGTTATTGTAGGTCCTCTCTACACCTCATTTTTGCTGTGCTAATCTGAAAATGATAAATACGTTCTTTGTGCTTGGTTCGTTGCAGGTCGCATTTAATAGGTATTTTATGGAAATTTATTTGTTGACAGTGAACTTGTCATCATTGTTAGTTGTAAGAACACTGCCATTATCAGCATTATATCATAATAATCCACAGTGAGTACGGGGGTGACTCTACTGTCTTCACATAGTACCCAAAATTGCACGAAGCACTCAGGAAACGAGTAGAATTCCAACTATTTGTAGCCGCGATAACCATGGAAAGAAAAATGCTAGGGATTTCACGTCGGGACTAAATCTGTGAGGGTCATTGCCGTCGAAAGCATATGTGAAAAGCTACGGTGGGACTGGCACCTAACTCGGCTCATTAGCATCAGTTGGTTGGCGATGGTCGTGGCCCGGTAACCTGATGGGAGGATCGGGCCGCCTCTTCGCCCGTTATGCGATGAGAACCTTATGTGAGGATCGTGGAAGGCCGCGGATGGATTGAGTAGGCTTGAAAGCCCAAGAAACAGCGGATTGTTGTTTGCCAATCATTGGGCAGTGCAAGTGATCAAAGCGGGAAGTTGGAATTCTTCTGCGATTCGAGTGAAACGTCGAAAAGCGTTACTGTTCAAGTTCTCGGGTGGCGATTTTCAGCGACCTCTTGTTTTTCTTTGTCAGCGATGCACTCCGGTCAGCCGTCTTGACCACGTCGGCCGAAATGATCAGCGCATTGCCACGGAGACGGTGGCGGTGGCGGTGGCGGTGGCGGTGGCGGTCGTGGTGCTTTTTAGCCCGGTTTGGAACGATTTTTCGACGATACGCCCAGTGCTTGAAACCGGATCCGAAGTGCCGGTGATTCGGAACCACCGTGCTGTGAGTTAATCGGCTTCGCGACCAGGCCAGCGTGCGTTTCAAAGCGAGTCAACGAGGCGATTCTAACCGACCCGCCGAGCCTGCGGCTCACACGACTGGATGGTTTCCGGACCAGAACGAAATTCCGCTCGCACCTACCGATGAAGTGAAATTTGTCAAGC